ACGCTGACGCAGACTGCCTCTCCCGGATTCCTCTTGCGACTACTGACTGCGATGCTGAGAATTTTGACGACTGCCTTGCTGCTGTTACAAGCACGTTCCCCAACGCGGCTGATTTCCAGAGAGAACAACGCAACGATCTCAACTTGGGTCCTCTTTTTGCCGCCGCACGTGCCTCCCAACACAGCGGTCGCTTTACGGTCCGAGACAAGTTGCTCTACAAAACTAACTACTCTAGACCTGGAGCACGTTTTCTTCTAGTTGTCCCCGAGAGCCTTCGCTCCGAAGTTTTACGTGCCAAGCATGACGATGCGACGTCCGGTCACTTCGGCTTCATTAGAACGCTGAACCACACGCAGGAACGCTTTTACTGGCCCAAGATGTACGAAACAACGAAGCGTTACATCGCTAGCTGCGAGACGTGCTAACGTCACAAGCGCCCGGCCACCGCTACACCAGGTCCCCTTCAGCCATTAACACCACCCAGCACACCTTTCGAACAAGTACGAATTGACATTATGGGTCCATTTCCGTTATCTAACAATAAGAAGCGTTGGATAATCGTCTGCGTAGATCATCTTACGTGGTATGCCGAAACCGCAGCTATTCCCTCTTCTACCGCTGCATCCGTGGCGGACTTCTTGTTTCACTCCGTGGTCCTTCGCCATGGCCCACCGCGTGTTATTATCAGCGACCGTGGCCGCCAGTTCACTGCCGATGCCGTTGAAGAATTACTACGCATGTGCACGACACAGTTCCGTCATTCCACACCGTATCACCCACAGACGAATGGCCTCATTGAACGGACAAACAGAACGCTGACCAACATGCGTCCCATGTACGTTTCTTCCAATCATAAGAACTGGGATGAAGTGCTGTCTTTTATCACGCACGCGTACAACACGGCAAAACATGAAACAACGAGCTTCAGCCCATTTCATCTGTTGTACGCAAGGTTGCCACTAAGCCCTCTAGACACATTCTTACCCTTCATTCTACACAATGACGACTCTGTATCAAACACCCTGTGCCTCGCGGAAGAAGCCCGTCAAATCGCTCGTCTTCGTACTCTGGCCTCTCAACGTCGTTCGAAGGAACGATATGACGACCGTCACGAACCGGTTTTATTCGAAAAAGGTGACTTGGTGTTACTTTGGACACCGCAACGCAAGCGTGAATTGTGTCAAAAGCTTCTGTCACGATATTCAGGCCCATTTGTAGTTTTGGAGCGTCTAAGCCAGCTCACTTACGTAATAGCTCGTCTTTTGTCCAATGGTCGACGATCGAGCCGAACGCAGCTCACTCACGTGGCTCGCCTGAAACCTTTCCACCCTCCTTGTGCATCATAACTCGCCCTACGGGCTTCGTCTGCTTGCGGGGGAATGTAACAGACTAGAAAAGGGTAGAGAAGAGAAGCAGAGGAAGACGAAGAGTCTTGGCAAGATAGCAGTGTGCTGCCGCAAACGACCATCGTTCACCTCCTGTAAATAAAACCATCTTATCACGGCTCGCTGTTACAATATGTTTCTCTACGCTGTCTGTCTGTCTGTCTGTCTGTCTGTCTGTCTGTCTGTCTGTCTGTCTGTCTATCTGTCCGTCCGTTCGTCTGTCTGTCTGTCTGTCTATCTGTCCGTCCGTTCGTCCGTCTGTCTGTCTGTCTGTCTGTCTGTCTGTCTGTCTGTCTGTCTGTCTGTCTGTCTGTCTGTCTGTCTGTCTGTCTGTCTGTCTGTCTGTCTGTCTGTACATTTGTCTGTCCACTCTTAACGGTACCGGGTACTTCAAACGGCACCAGCAAATACCCCATACGGCCGGCCCCGTCGGCAGCGCCCACCAATGTTGCTCAAGATTCAGTGTTCATACGTGTGCGATTCTCAATTAAAACGAAATTATTGAGCATATCTGATGCGTCGTTAAAACACCTATACATTGTGCAAGTGCGTTATTTATTAGACAAGGCATACACAAGTAATTTACAGATCGTAGCGTTTATCACGCTGCGCTCACCATGCAACGCTTGCACGAAAAGGTGAGTGTTTTTAGCGCTTTCCTTAGATGACACGGTCGTGGCACCTACCCGTCGCCTTGCGTTCTACACTTCATCACCTCTGAGACGGGCGCGCACGCCTGTCTCAGGGCCGCGCGCTTCGTTCTCCAATACAACTGCCAGATGGCGCTCATGTCTCGCGTGTGACGTGACTTGATGCACTCATTCACTTCTGCTGCACGTTCGAAGCACTCTAACGCAGCACTTTCAGAATACCATTCACCAATTTTCTAGCGCAGAAAAACAATGTTTTGTTCACTATATCCACACGCAAGACTATCTTCTTTCGACAACATTGCAGATTAACATGCAGATACGAGGCCAACTTTTTTAATGGTGTGGACCTCCAAGCACAGTACTGACTTTAACCACGCATAAAACAACAGGTTTTATCCAGCAAGCTCCCGCACACATCATTGTTTTAGAGGGCAAAGCTCATCTTAATCCAACCTTGTCCTGCGTCAGGCATAACCGAGAAAAGAGACGAGAAAAAAACTTGGCAGATCCAACGTACAGTGGAACTTGATGATATGCGAAGCGCGAATGAGAAATGTTAATATGTCACTTTAAAATCTTCACAACGTTACGAGGCGAAAGTAAATAATGCCGTACATGACTTCCGTGTCTTGATTATCATGTTTGGATGTGTCGTTTAGCTTCGTCGTCTATTCACGTCACGTGATACCAAATTTAATATATGTGAAGCTACCCGAACGGCCGAGAGCACGCTATGAGCGTGGTATGTTGTCATGTTCATACGTGACATGCGTGTTGGGATTATTATGTTTGTACCAGTCATATATTTCGTCACCCATTGACATCACGTAACACCAAATTTGCTATATGTGAAGCCAGCAAAAAGGCCACGAGCGCATCATGAAGTTCCCAGTATAATCCAAGGTAGACTTGACGCACGCGCACGCTGGGCACAACGACGCTACGCTAGCAAAACGCGAGCATTCTATAGTTTGACGCCAGGCGCGACCACTGTCCGTCGGCGTGGCCCGACGGCAACAGGCGCGAAATGCGATTTGCTGCATTTCGCGGCGATGCGTTACCTAGAAAACACTGCCTCCCCTTTTTTCGTGATGGAGAGACGCCGGACGAGTTGAAACGCGCATGCGTCAAAGCAACGCATTGCGGCGTGCGCCTGCGAGTATACGGCAGGACCGGAGCCTTACGTGGCAACGCCGTGTGACGCGACGAAATGAACGCCGGCGAGCATGAGCACTGCGTCACGTCGAAATGTATTGGCCCCTTGACTGTGCCATGTAGCCATGTTCTCACTTGACATGCATATCGTGATTATCAAGTTTGTGATAATGTAATTTATGACATTCATGAAATACCAGTCATAATTTTCATGTTATGACTAGTCCAATATGTTCTTCATACCATCATGTTATTCGATATCACGTTTGGTATTGATACCATTATCGAAACGGCCAGGAAAGCTAAAAGTCGTAGGCGGCTAGATAGATAGATAGATAGATAGATAGATAGATAGATAGATAGATAGATAGATAGATAGATAGATAGATAGATAGGTAGACAATTACGCTCAAAGTCGCCGAAGTTCGCTAAGAAATGCTTCGCATTTAAAAAACAACGGAAGCATCTCCTGAACAGTTTGATACACGGTGCTGGCTAATAGAGTGTCAGCACTCACCTGCATACAAACTGCAGCTGAGTGAGGACAATATAGCTGGCGCTGTACAACTACTCTCCGATTAGCTGCTGCGCTGGTTTTGCCTAGGTGCGTGAAGAAGCAGTGCCTCCCTTAGTCTCCTGGATCATCGCCCTACGTGGCGGGTCGTTAATAGGGCATGGACGAAATAGAGGGGCCGGCGGGGAGCGCGACGACAGCTTGTGGTCGTCGCCTCGTTTGTGGGGCATGTACGAAGCGGAGTGGAAGGCCTCGGTGGCTGGCTCGTGCTCGTCGCCAGACAGACAAAATGATAGACACACAGTCAGAGAGACAGACACACAGCCAGACAGACAGACGAATGGACACTTGGATGGACGCATGAACGAATGCACGGACGGATGAACACACAGATGGATGAATGGACTGATCTACGCACGCACGGACGGAAGCGCGGACCGACAAAAAGACGGTGAGACAGACACATGAACAGATAGGCCAACGTATAGACGGACACGTGAAAGAACGGACAAAAGCGCGGACGCATGGACAAACGGACGATTCGCCGTACTTTTTATAATTAACTCCGTGGATATGGTGTGCTTTTTTTTCGAAGGTGTCATCATATCCAGGCGCGTTCACAACGTCCACAATGTCACCGTTATCAGAGAGCCACTTTTATTTCTCTCACAGGGATTCATAGAAGTCACTCTATGTTTCGGAGCCCTAATAAAAACAAGTTGCACCGCAAGCTTGCCGCTTTCTTGCTCTTCTCATATAAGTGAAATTACTGCTGAATGTAAAGATGGTTATAGTGTTGTTGTTTCTACACAGCGTCCGCCTAGAAAGCTGTTGTGTGAAACATGTACAAAGCAAACGCGGCAACACCAGATTCTCTTTTGTTTGTAGATTCCGATATATTTTGAAAATTTCATCTGCGAAATTTCTTCATCACACATGCAAGCTTGCAGTGACGTGTAGTTGAAACATCACAACCAAACGAGACGGGTAAGGGATTGTCTCATAGAAATTGAACTTACAGCTAACATGCTACGAAGGCTTCTGCTATAAGTAGAAATCCGCCTAGATTTTATCATTTGGCTGAGCGTAAAAAATAACTAGCAGCGCACAGTTTTGAAGTCGCGATACCTAGCACTACTGTGCAGCGTTGAGTAATTAGACAGGAGTGGCACTTTAACTTTTTAGCTTGCCAGACCACCTTGGCTCATATGTTATTTTTTGGCCTGTTCATTGGAGTCAGCTTGAATTGTATTTATTTATATTTAGAACCCCTAGTCATTTTTTTATACTTACCCTGTCAGTACAAGCTGCGACGTTTTTTGCTTTGTAACACACGCTAATACAGGGTATTGATAAGTCCAAGCAAACAGCCTCAGGTATGCCATATCCACGGTATCGTCAAGTTCCTGTGACACAAAAAATAAATTATCAAACGATGATATCACAACTGAGAGATTTTGGTGGCACGGAACGTACAGAAACGCGACCCTATAAACTTTTCTAGCCACATTTGTGTTTGCAACGGCCCTTTTCAATAATTCTTGCTCTCTCGGTGATGAATGTTCTGGTGGCTAACCGTCAGGTACGACTTGGTCTGTGTGTTCGTGTGTCGTTGAAAAATAAATATTGCTTTTTCACCGTGTTTTTTTTATTAATTTTTGATGTTTTAGTGCCGTTAATTATCTCGTGGAACATATTAGGGTCCCTAAAAGCGCGAAAACATGCGCCATGAAATGTTAATTATACTTGAAGCTTCAATGTTCGCAGCACTTCAAGTGGTGGCTCGGCTCGTTGACCCTTCGTATACATGTCTTATGGCGTGATCACGCTAGCAGTACAGCACTCAATACAGGCTTTCACAAAGTTAGCAATATTCCACACACTGGTAAAATTAGGGAACTGGGTCCAAAATACCATACACCAAAAGTAATAAAATCTTAATAACAATCACTAGCTAGTATTGCCGAAAAAGTGTCATAAAACTACGGCAGAATCCTGGGCTGGCGAGAGGAGACGCGACCGCCTCTTCGAATCAGCGAGTGCCCATCCCCTCATGCTTCGTCGGGTGGCGTTCCTGCTAGATTCGATGAGGTGAATATCTAGACGGAACTCACCGCAGATGACGCAAATCTCAATCTCCGTTCCAAGCAGCAAGTCTACAAAACGGAGCGAAAATCCTGAATCCTTTTTCCACAGTCGAGTTGTGCGCCACCAGCTGTGTCTTTTCGGTCACTGAAATTCCTTTCATCGTGCTCCTATCTTTTGAAGAGAAGAAGTTTTCAACAAATGGCTTACACTTTTGTACAATCGACATCGAATTGAAGCCATAAGAGCGACAAGAATTTTCATTTTGTATTGTGCGTGGACTCCTGTCGTCCCCACCAGTACTCTATTCTTACAGTGCCAGACAAATGAGCACAATGCAGCGGTTCACCACACTCTCATCCAGCCCTTTCCTACTCACTTCGATTGCCTAGCCTTCACGTTTGCTCTACATTTGATGGAGAAAATACCCGTTTGGGGAGCCTTACGACGATTATCCCAAAGTAATGTTTTGTTCTTGCGTACAAACTTGAGGGGTTGCGTTTTGAATTTCCCGAGTTCACTATGTTGGCGGTCATGCTAACTCTGTAAGCTGTAGTTCACACTGAAGCAACCGCTGTCTTCCGTGAATGAAACACTCCTGCCACCGAAACGCAGTTTCGTTCGCACTGGACGTGCCCCGCACCGCCAAATATGATATCTAACACGAGGCGAACGCGTTATGGCTGCGCTGCCACCCGGTTGTTATCACGGCTCGCAAACGGCACTAGGCTATCTGGTGGCCTACTCTTCGATGATTCTCGTACGCATAAAGCAAGAAGAAGCAGTACTGCTTATTTTGCTGGCAAGTTGCTCTCTTGTAATGAATTGAAAGCAGAAAAAACCACTGGCGCCATTTGCGTTGATAGGTTCGTCTTGCTTTCTGAGACCGCGACAAGCACGGTCACGCCAACGAAAAGCTCGGTCACCTCTTCTACAAAACGAGGACGTGAAGTGGGCACAGAGTGGGTTAAGCTACCGTTGGTTACAACGTTCAGTTACGTGCACTGCGAGATGACAAGTGAGTGGGGCATGGCCGCCATTTTTCAGAATTCCTTGACTAGCGCTGTTATTCATCGACGGTGACCGATTCGCTGGCAGACGCAACAAAAATCACTCCGAGAGCGACTGTCGTGGAGAGGGCCCTTTTGATGGATCTGGCCACCACCATATCGGATTAGGTGAACTTTTGGCAGCCGGAATGTTGCATTTACTGCCATAAGGCGGGCCGCTCGGAGGTCACGGTGACATTGCTTTGAGCTACAATGAAGACACACAAAATAAAAAAAACGTTGCATGATATCGGAAAAGGCCATTTCCTTTATTGCTTCGCCGTGAAAAGCGCTCAAACGCAGGTGTGACGCAACCAGCCTTATCCTTTACCGGGTGTCACATCACAATGATTTGGTGAGCTAAGGTTGACCGATGGTTCTCATGGAGTAGCATGCGTTGGAACTGGGAATGAGAAAATTGAAGGAGGCGTTGTCACCACGTACACGCGCGCGCATTCGGTTTGGTAGAACTCCGCATATGCGCAAATGTCTAAGGTGGTAACCGGGCGGTTAGTTCTTGTGCCGGTTCGGGTTTCAATTTACTCCGATAGTACGTGGTATGCTTATGTTACTAAATTTGCGGGGATGCTATAAAAAGCTCGAAGACCAGTTCGCTCGATGCAGCGGCCGCGTTAGCTAAAGCAATGAGCAACAAATGTCTTTCAATGTGGCAGAAACATTTGCTGCTACTGTCTTCACTGCTGCGCACGAGCACCAACTGTTTCTTGTTTGAAAACCTTTGATCATTTCACTAGGACTCTCATTTGACCAGCATCTGATTGTATTTTGCTTTTGGTGGTGATTAAATATGATGTGCCCATTCACCATTTATTCTGCATAACGCTGCTGGAACGCAAACCCTCTGCCGCCCCGCCGCAGTGGTCAAGTTGCTAAGGTATTCGGCTTCTGACCCGCAGGTCGCGGAATCAAATCCCGGCTGCGGTGGCGGCATTTCTGATGGAGGCGGAAATATTGTAGGCCCGTGTGCTCAGATTTGGGTGCACGTTAAAGAAATCCAGGTGGTCGAAATTTCCGGAGCCCTCCACTACGGCGTCTCTCATACACATATGGTAGTTTTGGAACGTTAAACCCCACATATCAATCATTAAAATCATCTGCCTTGTAAGACCGCCTCATGAATTATGCTAGGGCTCTCAGGATGTGAGAGTACACCTAATAATCAGCTTTGCTTAATGAGCGAGAACCAAAGTGTGCAATATATAGGTTCACTCATCAATATTTTCAAACTGTCAGCACAGGTATACTTACCGTTCACAATCACCAGTTTCCCAATAAAATATGGATTGCGGCTCCCACGCGTCAAAAGTCCGGTAAAAGTTGCCACAAGCAATGTGGTGAGAATTTTCATTGTGACAGCCCTCTAAACTGCGAGGTAACAAAGCAAAACCACCACCACCTAAGTTTTATATCTAATAATGTACTCTGATAAGTCACTTCATTAAATGACCTTCCAACAGGGTCGTTATAAGTGGCCATATTGAAAATATGGGACCTTTGCGTCGCAGCACAGAGGCTAGCGACGTTTAAATGTTTCGTCTTAATAAAGAATAAGCAAGAAAATGCGCTATGTAACATCACGAATGTCAGCTTTACTGCATCTGTATATTCTTGGATTCTTTAATGAATTTTCAGTTCGTATTCGACGCTCACCATCGCGTGGCCTTCCTTCTTTGTGTGATCTGATTACGCTGTTTCTGGTTTATTTTTTCAGCTTTTGAGTGTCTCAGCAATTTCGCGAATATTGCTGAAAGTTTAAACCGCACAAGAAATAATATTTGGGCGAGTTGAATGCTGGTAAATGTCTTGAGTAAATTCAGCGCGATACAACTAGCGAGGACGGAGGTAAAGAAAAAAGACGATGTAATTCATGTGCCTTTTTTATCTCAGTCCTTTCGGAATCGCGCTGAGTTCAGTCAAGATGCTGGTGAGAGTAAATCAGCTTGTTTTCAAAACAACTTATTCAGGTTGAATGGGCTCTTCACAATAACTGTTCTTGGTACACTGCGCTGACAGGTTTTCTCGCTTTTATTTCGATAGTAATTGTATAGACTCTCTCGGCTGCATTTCATCACCGGCATCGGCGTGAGCGTCGGCGTGGACGTCATGCACTGCATAAGTATTCGTATCTACATATATATGGAAATTCAAGAAAGAAAAAAATCTAGCAGAAAGACTCCAGCATGCGGACTCGAGTGGCTTCCGCGCCAAGAATACGAGGCGTTAACCACTGAGCCAGTGAGGAGTACCTCAATTAACGTTTCAATTGCAAGCTATTTATATCTACCGCTTACTGATGTTGGTGGGCGTTTCAGGGGGGGGGGGGGGGATCTAATGCGTTTTCAGCATTATCAGCAAGATGGCGCAATGAGTGAATGGCGGCTCTCATCTCTCGCACGTACTTTGGCCTGCGGAGAGCAGGGTAGCGGATGACCTCTCGCGCACCCTTATCTCCTGGTGGGGAGGATCATACGTCCTGGCTGGTGTTGGGCTTGCACTGGAACTAATAGGTTGTAGTTATGGGGCGCAGTAGTTACGGGGCGCTCAAAGGTCACTGCAATCGTTGCACAGCCTCCGTTTGCGAAAAGGGCGCGCTTTTCAGAGACAGCGAAGTTACAACTGGGACACTTATTCGCGTTCATGTTTACCTGTGAGTACGTTTCGTGCGCCATTTGTGTGTGAGAAACGCGGGGAACCTTTCGATCTGCTTGCTATTCTGCGCGTGACCTTCATATTAGTTGCTATCGCGTTAATTGCTTCGCCTTTGCGGCAAAGTTGTCTTTTTTGTTTTGGTAATTCAGGAAAATTACTGCTGTCCTAACGAAGAGCTAGCTGATTACCGTACTGTTATAAAAACTTGAAAAAGTGTTCTCTGCACGATGGCGCAAAGGCAGATTTAATGCTGTACCTTTCTGCTAAAAGTATTACTGTATGCGCTCTATGAAACGACCGCAGATGTGTAGATCAACGTGAGCAGTGGCAGCAACACATTTCTTTGACGCATCCCATTCACGCAGAGACGGTGGAAGAAATAGGAATGTAATGACAACTGATATTCAGTTTACCTGCCTAGCGATAGCTCCATTGACAAGATATACTCTAACGCGTATTGTTGTGACACTTCCGTACGAGACAAGCTGTAAGCCTTAGTAAAGCTTTTGTACGCAGGTTTGCACAGAACATCGAAAGACTTCATTGCTATCACACTATAGTGAACTTATAACTCTGATTATCCAGTGTCTCGAAATTCAGTA